CCCAACCCCAACCCATTTTAACAAGGAGCATATTGAAAGCAGTGATTTACATAATCCTTTAAATCATCATTAATTCTATCAAGTTATATTCTGCCGAATTACTAACTTGGTGCTTTGTTAGCTACTATCTCATCGTAGGAGACATGTTTTTTCCATTAATTAAGCCATCTTAAATTTTCCAATAAAATACTTTTGCTTAAAATGTAAAATTGATTGTTCTTATCTGATAAAAATCTCTTTGAAAAACTTTCTTTAAGTTTCTTGTATCTAATATAGTGTATTAAATCAAATATTTTTTTTATTTTATAGACTATTCTCAATCATAAACATACAAATTGTTCTTCTTAATGAAATAAAAAAATAGATTAACATAATTAATCATGATGGATATATTCATACATAATTTAAATTAAAGAAGATTAGAAAAAAAACCAAAAAATTTTAAATATTATCAATTATCAAAGTGGATGGATTGATTTGTAGGAGAAAAGTGTTCGAATTAAATAAAACTTAAGTTATATATAATTTTATGAATGACAGAATTCCTTTTCTTAATAATTTCTTATTTAAAAATTTGTATTTTATAAAAAAATTCAAAATAATAATCAATTTCTATTAATTAAAATATGAGATAATTCTTAGTGTCAGCTCTAGCCTTGCTTATAACAATACAATATTATCACTTGAATAATGAAAGTTAAACTGATTTTGAAAAGTGGGCGACAAAACATTAGAAATTTTTTTCTGGTAGTGAAAAAATATTTAGAATGGAAATCTATAACTAAAATAAAAAAATGATTGAAGAGCATAACTAAAGAGAAGATTCAAGTTATTAGATGGGAGAGAATAAATTTATGGTGCTTTCTTCGGAGGAATTTCTATATCTATATAACTAACAAATTGGTGAATTTTTTGAAGTTAAAAAAAATGATACTATTCCTGAAATCAAAAAAGATATTTTAGCTGCTGTAGATTGGAGAAACTATTCAAAAGTAAAGGATCAAGGTACCTGTAATTCAGGATATGCCTTTTCGGTATCCAATTAAATAGAAGCCTGGTTTGCAATATCAAAAAAATAATATGGTATCATGCCATCTGTATAATAAATTGTGTCTTGCAGTTCTTTAAATGCTGGGTGTGCAGGAGGGTAAAATAATTTTGCTTTTTAATATGTAAAGGAAGCAGGATTAGTGAGCACCTTTGATTTTCCCTATGATCCATATTTTGCTATGTGCAATATACCTAAAAAACCATATATCTTCATTGATGATTTTGAATGGGTTGGATTAGAGGAAAAATATGTAAAATTCTATCTAAATAGTTAACCAATATCAACTTCAGTTAATGTAGAAAAATGGTAATTTTATAAATCTGGAATATTTTCTGATTGTATTTCGACTCGTTAAAATCACTATGTTCTGATAGTAGGTTATGACTCAAACAATAATTGGATTATTTAAAATTCATGGGGAGAAGGATGGGGTGAAAAAGGCCATATTAGATTAGCACCAGGAAACACATGTGGTATCTTGCAGGATAATACATAAATTAAAAATTGAAAAATTATATAAAAATAATCACATAAAATACTTGTTATCCAATCTTTATTAGAATTATAAAAGATATATAATTTAATTTCGATAAATCTAAAAATAAGTAAAAAAAATCAATTTTATAAATTTATTCATAAAGAAAATGTATTGGATCATTCCCAAATTAATTATTAATTTATAAAAAAGTTTCTTGTTTTTCTTTAAAAATTATCATCATTCACAATTGATCCTTAAGCTACCGAATAAATTAATTTCAACAGTAACTAATATTTTTTTTAATCGATTTTTGATGTAAAATTGAATGATTTTAATCCATATATGATACTAATACACTATATTAAAATTGTAATTCTAAACATCTTTCATAGATAATAGTTATATATAAAATATTATATTGTATGACTAGAGTTAATTTTTCTTCAATCAAAGTTAATTAAATATAAAAATTTCAAATTCAAAATATTGTTAAATTGGGTTTGATTTTTGTTAAAAATAGATTTAAATAAATCTCTCACGAATACTATAATTTACAGTTTATTTAAAAGTTTAAGACATTCAATCCAATTATCCTATTCAATGAAATTTTCCTTTTATAAAATTATTAATAAGTTTATAAATTTTTTCAATTGATTGTGCAGGTCGGCGGATAATTTTCATTTCGTAAACATCTCACATTTTAATTTTTTTATACCATCTAAAGCATCTAGATATTGAATATATATTAAGTCTTTTTTATCTATCCTCGGATTATTTTTAATGATTTCATTTAATTCAAGCTACTTTGATTAAAGTTATTGTTAATGTTACATAATTTTTGAAAGATATAAAATACAAATTTAATTATTGATATTTTAGCAAATTAATTGTAATTAAAGGAATTAAGAAAGAGCAAGAACGTGATTCATTATTTGGTATTTAATTTATTTTTAATACTTATATTAATACATATCCAATAAGATTTCATGAAGTTTTAAATTTTATAATTAATTGGAAGTATCAAGAATCAATTTTAAAAATTCTAATAGAAAATGAGTTGGAAAAAGATCTTATATCAAAACATTAGTAGCAAAGAAATAAATAAAAAAAGTTGAATAATCTGAATTTGTATCTTATTAAACTTTCCAATTTTTTCTATTTATTTATGTGGTTTTCAACTAAGGTAATATTCTAAATTATCATATATTATAACAATTATATTTGATTGATTAATTAAAGCAACATATCAATTCTCCCTTTTTTATACTTTTACCAAATCCATTTTAAATCTTTATTATTCTCTTAAATCTGAAGTTCTTCTTTCAATCTTATATTTTTAATTAAATTGCCTACTTATATTTTCTGATCAAATTATTGTAATTGGTAAATTATTTATTTTTTATAGTTATATTTTGATAAATCTATAAATTACAATTATCATAGGCTTTAGGGTTGGTTGGTCTCAATTTTAGCACACAGATTTTAATCCAGAAATTTTAATGAGTAAAGTATTTATTAAATTGAAAACAACAGGATTATATAATCTTGAATTACAATAAGCGAATATATTTATTTGAATAATTGTTGGTATCCAAAATAAAAATGAAAAGGGATATCCAATCGATATGGCAGCACAAAAATACTCAAATTATGCTTAAGAATTCTCATGTCGTTCATAATTTAAAATCAACCTAATTCATTGCTTCATTTTCTTCTCACAAAATTCTAATTTAATAAGTTAACAATACCCTTTTTTGTCTATTGTATTTTGATTATTTGGGTCTATCTTTAATGATTGTTCATAATATATCATAGCTTCTTGAGATTTTTTTTAATCAAATAAACAAACTCCCTAAAAATTAAAATTATAAGATACATTTAGATTAAAGAGACAATTTTGTTGCTGATTAATGGAGAGTGCTTTATCTAATAAATTTAAAGATTCATCATATTATTTTAATAATCTTAAGCACTCGCCTATTCATTAAATTATTATTAAATCTACCTTTTTCACTTAAGCTATTTATATGCTCAGGATTAATAGCTATTCCTTTGTCCAACTAAGTGATTGCATTCTCATATTATTTTAATAATCTTAAACATGACCCTATTTATTATTTATTATTCTATCTACCTTTTCACCAGAAAGAATTATGGTTATTGGGATTTAATTCTATTGATTTATCTAATATCTGAATGGCATTGTCAAAATTATTTTCCTAATATAATTTATAACCTGCAAGGATAATAATTATAATATAAATACCTTTATCATATAACTCTTTAGAAAGTTTTATACGATTATCATCAATCTAATAATAATTAAATGAAGATAATTTTAATTATTCATATAAATTATTAAATGAATAAGTTAATTATTTAGTCATTTTCAAAATGATTGTTGTAATTGATTATTTGGATTCACTAAATTTGATGGGGAATTTAAGTAATCATTTATTTGTTAAGAATTCAAATGTATTAATCTTCACTACTTTTATTGATATTTCTATCTGATTCCGCATATTAATTAAGAAAATGATTGGTTTACACTTTCTAAATATTTATTAAGATCATCAATCAAAATATCACGTTTAGATTACATATAAGTAGTTTTGCGTTTTACAATCTGTTTTGATGTACATGTTAAACAAGATGATGGACTATTTAAACATCTTAAAGATTCTTTATCATAATATTCATAGCTCAAGCATCCTGCTTAAGTAAATTTTATAATATTAGCATTATAAGTACTATTCCACAAAGTACATTGAGTTTAATTTTAACATTATAAACAATAAGGTTAGCAATTATGAACAGCAATATAATAATTGTAGAATCCACAATAAGCATAAAATGGTTCATTATTTGGACCAAAACAGTGATGATTAATGTATTTGTATTATGGTTGATTTTTTCGTAGACTTTATCATATTTTGAACCATCAGAATTATCTATTAAGTAAAATTTTGTTATTTGATTTCATTTTAATCACTATTTCTCTTAATTTTCTTTTTAAAATTAACTTTTTAAAGTGAATAGAAAAACAATTTGAAAAGAGTAGCACCAGAATAAATAAAATTATATTATTAAAACACAAAAATTATAAAAGCAAATTACTAATATCTTATATCAAAATGAAACCAATAAATTATTATATTTTATTTAGGTTATTTTAAATATTTTAATTAAACTATTGAAAAACCATGTTGCCGAATATTTCATCAAAGAAATTGGTGATAATGTCTTAAAATAAGGATTTAAATTTAAATATTTAGTAACTTAATTAATTTATTTATTTCAAGAATCTAAGATAATTAATAAGTAATTAAAGTATTCAATATTTAGATTTTGGTCATATAATTAAAAAAATGAGACTATCTATTGTTATGAGCTTGATTGGTATTCATATTTATAAATCATTTTCATAGGGTTAAAATTGATACGCCAAAAGCTCCTGTTGAAATCAAAGATGGATTTTTATCAGCGGAGATTTGTTTGAAAATTGCTTGATGGTAAAACCCATAATACTACACCAAATATTTTAATGATAAAGCCTAAATTAAGTTTTTTTTAATTATATGTATTAATAATATTAATTATCTCTATATTATAATTTATATTAAATTTTAAATCCCTCTAATAAAGCATAAATTTTGAACTACATATTTGAAATTGATCAAAGTGATTCTAAATATTATAATTCTACTTTTGAAGAAAGAATTAAATATTATCTTTTGATGATCCTGAATTCTCGAACATTCAATACTTGGTAAAAACAAAATTTCTTATCTAAACCATTTTATCTCAAAATATATAATTTATATACAAAAAATAACAATATTTAGAACTCCTATTTCACCTCAGTGATAAATGAATTATTTTTTTTTATTATCAATCTAAATTTTACCTAGTAGAGTTATTAAAGAAAAATAGGCTTTATGAAATATTTTTATTTCTTTTTAATCTTTACTCATAAATACAATATATTATATTAGAGGTTGTATTTATGATAATGCTTGAGATTATTTCAGCAATAATAAATTTGTATTTATAGATCTATTCAATTTATTTAACAAGGATTTTTAATTAAGGTTCTATAATCAAATTTAACAGCTTATTTAGTGTGATTCATATTATTTTTAATAAATATCAGCATGAGTTTGAAAAATAAATAGAGCAAGATAGATACTATTAAAATAAAAATAGGTCTTCTTGTCTGTCAATTATTTTTTATCAAATAAATTTTATTTAGAACAATAATTTACCCTTTCATTATGAAAATTAAGGTGTTATATA